GCCTTTCTGCTCCTATGATGCTGCTTGGCCTGCTGTGTTCATCCAGCTCTGCACCTTGTTGTCTCGGATTCTCCAGCATCTGCAGTTCCTACTATCTCTGACCTAAATTCAACTCCTACTTTGGCAGGTGCAGAATTTAAATTTAGTTAAGTAAATAAAAAAGGAAAAACAAACTTGTGAAAACCCATCCAGATGATTAATGTTTTTTAAAAATAGTCACTTTGCAGTAAATAACTTGAACATTGCTGAAAGAAGATAAATTGTGTCTTTTACTCATCAGGACATATGCAAGAAGTACCAATGTGAAGGGAACATCATTTTGATATTCTATGAGAACAGCAAGTAGATGACAAGTAGTAGACAAATGGATTTGATTGGCAGAGGCATTGTCATAAAGAATGCACTAATTAGATGATGATTGATAGTTAACAGGCAAGTTTTGATTAAATTTAAACTAAGGAGGTTAATTCTGATTGGTTCAATCCTCAGGACAATGCCTTTACCAATGAATATCAGCTATCTTGTTAGAACAGGTGTAATGTGTACATGTTTTTTTTTCTGTCTGCAGAGAACAAGGACTTCTGTTTTAATAGATTTAACTTCCAGTAAGTACAAGTGCACCAAATTGTCGGTCAGACTCCATCTTAAACTGGTAGTGCAATTGGTATTCTTGGCACACTCAGGAGGATTATTTAACATACTCCATCCAATTGTGGAATCAAATCTAATGTTAGACACTGTACTTTGGTTTTGTAAGCACGATCTAGTTGGGAGGGTAGTTTGCCATCCTCACCAGCTCCAGCCTATATATGACTTCAGATTGACAGCACTACGGATGACTCTTAATTGCTCTCTGAAATGACCTAGCAAGATATCCAGTGGCTAATCAGCCATTGAAGGTAGCTTGACTTGTGCCTGCCCAGCCAATCCAACAGCTCTAGAATGAATTACAAAATAGATCAGCCTTTCACATGGCATTACAGATTAAGACGATTGGTGAGGGAAGATTTACATTTGGCAGTCACATTGGATATCATTGTGACTTTGATAAAAGTTGCTTCAGTATCAAGGAGGAATGCAATCTGATTGAAGAGATCCAATCAAAGTGTTCTAGGAAGTAGAGGCTCTCCACCTATCCTCTCCTCTATCCCTCTTCTATCCGCCTCCCACTCTCTCCCTATTTATTTCAAAACCCCCTTCCCCTCCCCCTTTTCTGATGAAGGGTCTCGGCCCGAAACGTCAGCCTCTCTGCTCCTATGATGCTGCTTGGCCTGCTGTGTTCATCCAGCCCTGCACCTTGTTGTCTCGGATTCTCCAGCATCTGCAGTTCCTACTATCTCTGTTCTAGGAAGTAGGCCATTTAGCTCTACAGGTATGAGCTAATAGGGCAGAACAATGGCACAGCAGTTCGCACAGCATTTTTTTGTTTTTTTCTTTACTCATTCATGGGATGAGGGCGTCGCTAGCCAGGCAGCATTTATTGCCCCAATTGCCCAGAGGGCAGTTAAGAGACAACCACATTGCTGTGGGTCTGGAGTCACATGTAGGCCAGACCAGGTGAGGATGGTAGTTTCCTTCCCTAAAGGACATTAGTGAGCCAGATGGATTTTTCCAACAATTGACAATGGATTCACGGTCATCATTAGATTATTAATTCTATATATTTATTGAATTCAAATTCCACCATCTGCCATGGCGGGATTCAAACCCAGATCCCCAGAACATTACCTGGCTCTCTAGATTAACAGCCCAGCAATAATACCACTAGGTCATTGCCTCCCCTGCCTCACAGCGCCAGGCACCTGGGTTCAAGTGGTCAACTGTTTGTGTGGAGTTTGCACGTTCTCCCCATGTCTGCATAGGTTTCTTCCAGACGCTCCAGTTTCCTCCCATAGCATAAAGGTTAAGTGAGTTAGCCCCGCTAAATTGCCCATAGTGTCCAGGGATGTGCAGGCTAGGTGGATTAGCCATAGGAAATGTAGGGTTACAGGATGGGGTGCGACAGTGTGTCTAGGTGAGATGCTCTTTGGAGAGTTGGCATGGACTCGATGGGCCGAATGGCCTGCTTCCATACTATAGGGATTCAATGATTCTATGATAATATTTATGCTCTGCATCCTGCCATTCCTCTCCATCTAACCCTATTAACATAAATTTGAATTCCTCTCCCCCTTCTCATGTCTACTTTGAAGGATAGCATTTCCAGCTGTTCTTCTTCCTTCACTGTGTAACAGTAGTCCATAACAGATTTAGGAGGTGACAACATGTTCATGAACTTTGGAGATGGGATGATAGTTTGCAAGGACAATGGTCAAGGGATAGATGTTTCAGGAGAAGGCTAATGATGACAGATTTAAAGGAGACAGGGACGGCACCTGGAGAGAGTCAGGTGGATCAGTTAAAGGGGATGGGGATGAGGGCAAGAGGGGACTTTGGGAGATTGAGGGTCCCAAGGGCAGATGTCAGGCATGGCATGAGGGAAGATAGTTGAGGAAGTAGGGAAAAATGCAAGATCATGGCTTGGGCAGTACAGGAGCTTTATAGGACATCTTATTAGTGATTTTGTATTGTTTCAGCTTGGCTTTATCCTGTTGGAAATAATTTGTACCTTTACATGATCCAATCGTCTTCAGCACGGATGTAGAGCTGTTGTTGGGCCGCACCACATGGAAGTAATCGACACTTTGAGTACCAACAGTCTGAGGAGTGAACATAATGGGGATCTGGTACCTGCCGCTGGCTTGAACAGTGCCCTCACTGACCTCACAAACAAATTCCGAGTTGAGTGGTGCAGGGTGCTGGTTATGCATGATTTGAAATGAACTGTTCACCTGGAAACACAAGGCAAATAAACAGCAGCTAAAAAACACTGGCAAAAGAGATTTCAAAGTCAAATTTATACTATATGAATGTCTCACTACTGGTAATATAATCTCAACAACTGAACTCAATCCTGGGCTAATGGAACGAAAGCATCTCTCCAGTATCCGGTTTTCAGAGTTCTGTGTCAATTCATCTTGCAAGTCTTGGCTTGCAAGTTATAATGCTCTAAGTAATGCTCCAATTAAGTTGGTCATTTCACTGATTCAAGGAAGCAGGACTCATGGATGAAACCAGAACTACGGGTCATAAATAGAGGAAAGTGATTAGCAAATGCAATGAAAAATTTAAGAGAAAATTCTTTACTGAGAAAGTGGTTATATTATGGAACTGGTTACCAATAACAGCAATTCAGATGAACGGTATAAAGACACAATTAAAAGGAAGATAGACAAGTACAAGAGGGAGAAAGCGATGGAGGGAAATGACAGAGTTGGAGATGGCTCACTTAGAGCGTAAAATACCTGACATATATTAAATAGGCTAAATATCCTCTGTCTGTACTTTAAAATGGATGTAATTTTACACAGAAATCATTCAAACCCCTATGCTTGCTACACCATACAATTGTACTATAGCTGATCAGTACCTTGAATTCATTCATTTTGTGCCACATCTCTTGACCCTCTTAACCAAAATAAAACTTTTTCTCCATCTTAAAAGCTCCAAACCAATCCAACCCCTCCTCACTCTACATTCTCGGACATTTGGAGAAACTGCTTTCTGAGTTTCCACTCCTCTATGTTCGAAAAAGTGTTTCTGATTTTGTGCCTGAGTGGCCTGGCTTTAATTTCAATACTGTGTCCCCTTGTTCTGGATAAAAGAACAATTTCTCCTTTTTAAATCTTGAACAGTTCACTAAGAAACAAAATGTGTGCAATCATGTTGCTCAGGTGTGCTCTAAAGGCCACCAACTAACAGTAAGGATGTAGAGGAACAAATCTACAGGGAAATTGCAGAGATATTCCAACAATATAGAATGGTATTTCCAAATGAACTGAAGGAACAGCGAAGTATTTTGAAATCAGGATGGTCTGTAGCTTGGAGGTGAACTTGCAGCTGGTGGTGTTCCCATGCACCTACTGGCCTTGTCCTTCTAGATGGCAGTGGTTGTGGGCTTGGAAGATGCTATCTAAAGAGTCTTGGTGAATTTCTACGACGCATTTTGTAGATAGTACACACTGCTGCTACCAAGTGTCGGTGGTGGAGGGAGCGGATATTTGAGGATGTGGTGTTAAACAAGGGGGATGTTCTATCCTGGATGGTGTCGAGCTCCTTGAGTGTTTTTGGAGCCGCACTCATCCAGGCAAGTGGGGAGTATTCCATTACACTCCTGACTTGTGCCTTAGAGCCAATAAAGTATTTTTAAAGTCAGCCAAATTTACACAACATAAGCTAACAAGCAGAAATGCAATAATGCTTTTATGCTCTTTACCCAGAGCCCTGAAAATGATTCCTCAAGATTATCTATTTTAACGAGGTTGGTTAAGAAACAAATATTGTTTCTGGACAGCCAATAGTGCAAGAGAGATCTTGGTTCACCACTTCAGCTTGTAGAAAGGGTCTCTATGGGTGCAGCACCTACACTGTATTGCACTATGCCAGATAATACCAGAAGACTCACACAATAGAGTAAATCAAACTGCATAACTTTTTTTTCAGTGAAAGAGCAAAGTAGGATTTCAATTGTTACATCAAATTACATAGCATTTAAAAAGTGCAAGCACATCACTAACAATGTAGGTTACTTCACTTTTGTAGTAAATTTATTGCTTTTTCAATAAGGAATTTCATGGAGGTTAATTACAGAATTTCAAGATGCAGTTTTGCAAAAGGCTGCAGTGACCCAAACATGCCAGTCGGTGGCACTCTTGACTGCTGAGAGCCATTGTTCATGCTTAACATTGATGCTACAATAACAAAGGCACCTCCTGATTCAATGACTTAAAAGAGGGGATAGGACACAAGGATGGAGGATGAGGTTAAGGGACATGGGGACTGCACTGAAGACCAGGAAAGTTTATAATTTGGATTTAAGGGCACCTCACCACTGCTTATTTGTTTCTGTTCCAGGTTCTGAGTCAGAGGGCCGTGGATTTGTACTTCCCAAACTAGGCTTACACTACTGCTACACAGCATAGAGATAAACATCACACAGAGTAATCTTCCTTTAATTGAGAGGGAGAAAGTGTTCAAAGTTTATGCTGACAGGATTAGGTGAAGAGGGAATAACAGATCATGCATGTGGTGCATAAATGCCAACATAGACCTGTTGGGCAGAATGGCCCGTTTCTGAACGGTAAATTCTATGCAACTCAATAAAATGAGTTTGGGCAATGATGGGCTACTTTGTAGCATTGAAATACTTTGAAAGAGCTGCCCTTATTGATAATCTTACTGACAAAGTAAGTGTTCCATCTGACCTGGAACAGCTTGATGTGTTTGTGTTGAGAGAATTCACGAAGTATGCTTTATGGGATATTGTGCTGTAATAGAAGCTTTATTCCTTACCTACTTTCAGCGTGAAAGCAGGGACAGTATTATAAAAGGACAAACACTTATTGAAATATTCTGAGATAGTAGGAACTGCAGATGCTGGAGAATCTGAGATAACAAAGTGTACAGCTGGATGAACACAGTAGGCCAAGCAGCATCAGAGGAGAAGGAAGGCTGATGTTTCGGGCCTAGACCCTTCAAATTTTAACCCCACTGCGAAGCCTCTTCTAAAGAAGGGTCTAGGCTCGAAACGTCAGCCTTCCTGCTCCTCTGATGCTGCTTGGCCTGCTGTGTTCATCCAGCTCTACACCTTGTTATCTTTGAAATATTCTGAGCTTGCTTTATTTAAATGTTTTCCTGTTGTCCTGTTATCCTGTTTTATCTCACCCGTGCTGCAGCAGATTCTTGGTGGGACAGTATACAGGCAGCTTGACTCTACATCTAACTAATGTCTGCTTGGCCTGATAGTACATAATGAATGCACAAATCGTAGAAGAGAAGACAATTCAGCTCATCAAGGGCAGGTCTTTGAAAGAGCTACTCAATTAATCTCACCCTCCTGCTCCTTCCCCACAGTCCTCAAAATGATTTGTCAATCTTTTTTATTATTCATTCACGGGATGACGGTGTTGCTGGCTAGGCCAGCATTTATTGCCCATCCCTAGTTGCCCAGAGGGCAGATAAGAGTCAACCACATTGCTGTGGGTCTGGAGTCCATATAGGCCAGACCAGGTAAGGACAATAGTTTCCTTGCCTAAAGGACATTAGTGAACCAGATGGGTTTTTCCAACAATCAACAGTGGATTAATGGCCATCATTAGACTCTTAATTTCAGATTTTTATCACATTCAAAATTCCACCATCTGTCATGGCAGGATTTGAACCTGGGTTGACAGAACATTACCTGGGTCTCTGGGTTACAGACCAGTGATAATACCACTAGGCTATTGCCTCCCCCGTGTTCATCCACTCCTCTTTAGATGGTTGATATCTAATTCTGTTTCCATTGCCGCTTCCAGAATTGCATTTATAACAGCTCACTGCCTAAAAAATTTTGCACCTATACTTTAATGGGATGTACTTGATGAGACAGCGGCAAGAAAGAGCAATACATCGTATTGAGGACACGCTGCATTTGGTTTTGAATTTTTGAGATTGGAATTGAGTACACATTGTAGGAAAGCATTCCATTCTCCAGCACGGGTATCCCTCATCTGCACTGGCAAAGGAATTACCATCTAAGAAGATGTGTCTTGCACATCTCCAATTTCATCACACCACCAATGACAGCTGTGCCTTCAACATGTAGGCCCTAAGCTCTCCAAAATTCACGGTCTGTCTACGTAAGACAGATCTTCAAACAAAGAATTTTGGCCAGCTGTCCCCGTGTGCTTATGTCTTTGTAACTGGTTTTGTTTGGTAATGATTTGTGAACCACTTTGGGACATTTTACTACACTATAGACACGTTATAAGCTCAAACTGACTCGTGTTCAGAAAAATGCTGCAACTCCACCAAGATGCTCAAACAGCAAAGCTGGAGCAGATCAAAACCTTTTGCCTACCTGTCTCTTGCCAAATCTACTGCTGGAAATACTCACCACTGAGAAGTTATGAATCTCCATAAATTTCATAACAGTGCTGCCAACAGCAACATGTCCAAAGTTTAGGATGCTCTGTGTATCCTCCTGTGAGGATGTCTGTGACTCTTCATTTAGTGCACTCACCAACAGATGAGGGTATTTGGCTGTGGAGCAGAATAACATGATTAGAACAACAATTTTTTTTTTCCCCAAACAAAAAGTAGAGAAACTCAGGAGGTCTGGCAGCTGTGAACAGTAAAACAGAGTTAATGTTTCAAGTCTGATATGTCTCTTCTTCAGAAATCTGCCTTATTAAAAGGTATTAGCAATTATTTAGGATGTCTCTTGCACATCTTCCAACTTCCATCACTCCACCATTGGCAGGGGACCCTTCAACTGCATAGGCTGTAAAGTCTCCACAGCTGCTGTCAGATCTGCTGAGTTTCTCAAACACTTATTGCTTTTATTTCAGATCCACAACATCCACAGTATTTTGCTTAAAATTGAGAGGTCTGCATCATACGTGACTAAATTGCAAAGTTAAGGATCATATCACCCTGAAAGAAACAGTGCACAAATCTGCAAAGGTTAGAGGCAGTTCAAGGTATTGGATAGACTTTAGGAACCAGCAAGAAATGAATAACAAATAGGCGAAACTAGAGATAGTTAAACAGTTTCAACAAGTATTTAAATAGGCAAAGAAGAACTACAAGTAGTGCTGATCCTCCAGAGAATAAGTCTAGGGAATTGATAATGAAAAAAAGGAAATGGCGGAGTGTGAGAATAGGTACTTTGTGCTTTTCTCACTGTAGAAAACTTAGAAAAATTCCTAAAGACACTTGAAAAATCAAGAGGCAAAAAGGAGGGAAAAACTTAATCACTATCAACAGGAAAAGGTGCTGCAAAAATGATTGGACCTAAAATTGGTGGCCTGTTTCATAGGGTTTTAAAAGAAGTGGCTGCAGTGATATTAAATGTATTGGCTATAATTTTCCAAAATCCCTTTGAATCTAGAAGGATCCCAATAGATTGGAAAGTGGCTAATGTAGCAACTTTATCAATAAGGGAGGAAGACAGAAAGCAGGCTAATTGGCCTGTCGTTTTCTAAAATTTGCAATCGTCTAATTTCTAGAATCCATTATTAAGAAAGTTATAGCAGGATAATTATCAACTCCTAGCGGGTTTAGGCAGATGCAACAATGCTATTAAAGAGGGTTTTTTTTTCAAAATAACTAATTTATTAGAACTAGAATTCTTTCAGGAAGTAACAAGCAAAATGGATAAAGAGGAAAACCTGAGGATATGGTGATTGTCAGAGGTTAATGTACAAATTATGTATGGTGTGGAGGATAACATCCCATCCACCATCAACACACAGTGGCAGCATTGCATATCATCTAAAAGCTCACTGCAGCAGCTCACCAAGCAACTTCCAAATCCACAACCTCTACTACCACTAGAAGGATAAGGTCAACAAACACTATCCACCTTGAAACTAGATCACGGCTGTATAACTGGGTCAACATGCTGGAACTCCCCTCCTAACAGCAATGGTGTATCTGCAGCGATTCAAAATGGTGGCTTATCACCACTTTCTCAAAGACAATCGGAGATGGGCAACAAATAATGTCTTTGTTAGCAACGTTCGCATCACATGAATGAATTAAAAAGTAGGCATTGTTGTTGTGAAAGGCTTGATATAAATGCAAGTCCTTTGTGTTTCTTCATTACAGAGTTTGAATATTGATAAAATTAATTCTCACCTGTTGCTTCCAGCTTTAAATATTTCTCACTTTTATCATCTCCAAATTTGCAGATAGCAATTGCATCAAATATATTAGGGGTCTCTGGTTTGAACTGAACCTTAATCTTGTAATCATCCCATGGTGGCAGTATGCCATTAGATGGCACTAAAACGAAAGGACTGGGCACTTCAAAATAGAAGCGTGTGGGCAGCTGACTGTAGAGACAATTAACAATGACAGCATTAACAGCAACAACAGCTATACATATCTCTATATCAGGCCTTTAACACAGTAAAACATCCTTAAGTGCTTTGACAGAGTATTTATGAAATAAAACTTGACACTTGAAGTGATAATAATGCAGGAGACCTAAAACTTGGTCAAAAGTAGTAGATTTTAAGTATATCTTGAATGAAGTAAGTTTTAGTAACAGAATTTCAAAGCTGGGCTTGTGTACAGCGGAAAGTACAACCAGAGATGTAAGAAAAGTAAGTCAGGAATTTAGAAGCAGAAATGGATACAATTCTCACTGGATTCCTCACCGTCTGGAGGAAGTTAGAGAGAGAATAAGGGGAGGCAAGGCTGTGGAGGGATTTGAGCACGAAGATGAGAATCTTGACATTGAAGAGCATAACCACACCATTTGGTGTGTTTCATTTCAGGTTGCCAGTTTTTAATTCATTTAAAATGAATCATCTTTACACTCATTAAAAATTAGCGGAAAACATTTCCAAGTAACAATATGTGACATTTCGGCTATTTAGCCCATCAAGTCCACACCAACCCTCCGAACATTGTGAGTTGCTTGGGTGCCTCTTCTTGTGGTATTTGCCAGAATCTGCCTAGTGCTAGTTTAGAAGATATTGAGTTCTTCCCTGTTTTAGCTAAACACTCATCTACTGATTAACATTGGATGGATTTCTCTTTCCACAGCTTTATTAAAATGTGTCAATCAACATACAGTCTCATGGAAACAGAAAATGTTGCAGAAACTCAGCAGGTCTGGCGGCATCTGTGGAGACAGAAAAACAGAGTTAACGTTTTGAGCTTGACATGACACTTATTCGGAAAGGCCCCTCTGCCCGTCTCTGTTGTATTAATAACATCTAGTCCAGGCTGCTGCCATTAGTTGATTTTCTTACTACATGTTCTGTTTTCCTCTACTTTTCCTCACTTTAATGTTTCACAATTTCAATAGTGTCTGTTGCTTTGAGATTCAGACTCTCACTCGCTTACTCCTCCGATTACCACTCAGTTCTGCCTCCTTATCTATTTAATTTAATTATTTTTAGCAGCATCAAGTTTCTCAGGACTGCAAATTATCTACTACTCTGATTTCTCGTCTGTCGTGAATTGGATCCTCTTTCAGATGACTACATTCTCAGTCTTCTTCTAATCAGTAACAAATCAAGAATCAATGAGTAGATACATTCCTACATCTCTGGGTACATTTATCAAATTTTGTGTAAGTCAGAATTTTTTGATTTGATTTGATTTATTATGGTCACATATACCTAGGTACAGTAAAAAGTTTTGTTTTGCATGCAGCACAGGCATACCATACAATACAAAATATGCCTCCAATGTATCAATAATTTTCACATATGTGGCTTTCACCTCATTAATCCCCAGGGTAACCTGGACGTAATCCACATAGTTGATCATTATGTACAAGTGTACTCACCTGTGCACAATCTGGCATCACTGCAAGACCCAATGTGAAATCAAATGAATCTCCTGTAGCACTTTGGTCAGCCTTATTGAACCTTGTGACTTACTCAAAGCACTCCAGCGGAAGTAGATATTTTCCTATCACCATCTTTTCTCAGCACTGCCATCATATATAATTATATTGTTGCACTGCAGCTGTTCTAATAATGTTTGAAGACCAGTGCCTGAAAAAAACTCTAACTTTATTGAAACATATTTATTGTTTTGAAAATGTCCGTTTAACCCAGCTTCTGTTTGTGTTTACTCTCAAAATCTTTCATCACACGAGTACATGCCATTTTCTCTCAACACGTCACAGACAGTCACTGTTAATTCTCAATAGGACTTAGTCTTTCATACTTCAATATACAACAGGGGAAACTAAGATAAGGGGACGTATCCTGAATGTTTGAGGCAGGGAATTCAGGAAACACATATTTAAGCACAGGGTAGTAGAAGTGTAGAACTCCCTCCCAAAAGAAAAATCTCCATTTATCATTTCAAGTCTGAGATTAGTAATTTTTTTTCCAAGATGAGTAAATAAATGAAATTAGGGGTTTAAGACACAGATAGCCATGACCCCTCATGGAAAGGGGGAACAGACTTGAATGCATTCTCTTCTTTGTATGGTCTTCCAACCTTACCTATTGTTATGCAAGTAAAATGTGACCTCTGAGTTTTCGTAGACTCCACATGGTGGTATGCACAGCCAATCAGGTATCTCCACATCATGGGAGGGCAGAGAAGCACGCAGCTGAATAGTAAATGACCCGGTTTTCGTCTCAAACACAATGCAATCCTCATAGTCTTTCTGTAAGGAGACAAAAATCAAGGACAAAGTATCTCACTGAAGCAGGGGGAGGCATGTATATGATTTTATCTTCACCGTAGTGCAATAGCATGACGTTATGTTACTTGGCAAGTGAGTAAGAGGCATGTGGTCAAACTTTAACACGGCAGCTGGGGAATTCAAATGTAGTTAATGACATAAATATAGAAAAAAACGGTATTCCTGGATTTTTGCCAAATTGTGCAAACCCAGGAGGCCTTTAGAAGTCACCCAATTCTGATATTCATACCCACTTTTACACTTCAAGCACATTTTGGTGTCATGGGAAAAGGCCGTCGACAACACTTCTGTTATTACTGGCTCCATTGTGTGAGTGGCATTTCAAACCCCTTGATAGAGTCTTCTACAGCCACATGTCGTTCACTACACCTCAGTGTCAACAGCCTCAAGTGTGGAGGTCCTAGCCCCAATACAACACTAAAATAGAACAGTTTCTGGAATTCTGTAATAGAGAATCTGGTCTTACAGTCTCAGTAGGTTCCATGTTTTGAGTTATATTGGTTGGTTTTGACAACTGAGTGCATAAATGCTTGACAGAGTTTCTAAAGGAAATTTCTGTAAAAGATACTGTTCTCAGCATGACAATTTTACACTGTTTTTAAAGATTTTTGATGAGAGATGTCGTGTTTGTTAATTGTTTATATTATTTGTTTGTGGTTACAACTGTATGGCTGCTTCAGAGGATTAACGTTTTTTTTCAATGACTCCAAAGTTTATTTTAGTATAAAATGTGTTTGAACAAAACTAGATTAGTTATTATTAGACTATTGAAAGCTTAAGTCATTTCCATTTCAAAGGCTTCCCACTGGTATTACATGACACTTAAAGTTTGCTCATAGTGAATCTTAGGTCAGTGACAATAGACCACATCAGAAGTACAAAGAGAACATAGGGATGAGAAGGGGTTATAGATAAGGCATAGGGGAATGTAGAGAGACTGAGGAGCAGCATTCCCTCTAATTTGCTTTCCAGCTGCTCAAGTGTCCAAGGCCTGCGCACAGCACGGACATCCAGAACCAGAGGTCAGTGCTGTGATTGGCGGACTGACACCAATTACCGTTCGCAGAACCTTGGAGTGGCTGCACAGCCGCAGCTTAGATGGTGTGTTGCTGAGGAGTGAGGGCTTGAGGGCCTGATATTCATCAGTAAAACTGGGCCATTGCCCCAATAAATTGAGGCAGGGTCTCTAACTTGTTGGCCTAGTCATCCGTCTGCCTTTGTGGTTATTTTGGGCCTACCACCTCTTGGGCAGGCCTGATTCCCTCCTATCTCACCTCCACAGAACAGGAGCTTCTCCAACTTACACTTCCCACCACCTTTACAAAAATCTAATCCCTCGTCTCATTACCACTGGCAATGAAGCAAACATTAAACTGACTGAGAACTTTAACCAGTTAATTAGTGTCCTTTTGAAAAGGAAATCTGCCAACCTTACCCGGTCTAGCCTACATGTGTGAATCCATACAAATATCAATGCAGTTGACTCTTAACTGGCCGTTGAAATGGCCAAGCAAGACTCTCAATTTTATTTATAATAGCAGCATGAATAACTAAAACACAAATATTACACATCTCTAAGGAGGGACTTGACAGGGTGAATACTGAATGAGTATTTCTCCTAGTGGGAAAGACTAAACTAAGGGACACAGATTAAAAATAAGGTGTCTCCAATATAAGACAAGATGAGTATAATCTTTCTCTGAGCATTATGAGTTCTTGGAACTCTCTTCCCCAGACAGCAGAGAAGGTGGAGTCATGGGGCAGAGGGTAGATAGATTCTTGACGAATAGGTCAAAGGGAATGCAGGAAAGTTCAGCTGAGGTGACGACCAGTGTAATCTCAGTTTTAACAAATGACAAAGCAGTCTCAGGGGGCCAAAGAAAGGGGCTCCTCTGGTGCAGTGGTAATGTCCCTAACCTCTGGTCCAGGAGACCCAGGTTCATATCCCACCTGTTCCAGAGGTGTGTAATAACATCTCTGAACAGGTTGATTAAAAAGAAATTATGAGTTTAATGAATGAAAAACATCCATCCCACTCATTATGCTTCAGGAATTATACCAAAATCTAATCTGGTCAATGCGCATTCTATTTTCTCATTTCAACCCACATCACTCCATTCCAAACTAAATCAGAACACAAATTTTAACTTGGTTCTTTTTGTGTCTACAATGAACCTCCATCCTCTTAATGCAACATGACATGCAAAGATACTTGCAGAACAGATAAGGGAGAATCAGCAGTTGTGGGATATTTAGATTTTCAGAAAGATGTTGATAAAGTCCCACATAAGATTAGAGTATGTGGGAATTTATGGTAACTGGCATGGATTGAGAATTGGTTAGCAGACAGGAAACAGAAAGTAGGAATAAATAGGTGATTTTTAGAGGGAAAGGTGGTGACTAATGGGGTATCAGAGAGATCAGTGCTTGGGCCACAGCTATTCATTGTATAGATGAGGATACCAAACATAATATATAATAAAGTTTGCTGATGACACCAAACCAAGAGGAATTGAGAGTTGTAACATGGAAATAAAGAGTCTTCAAAGCAATTTAGACATGCTGAGTGGGCAAATGCATTGCAAATGCAATAAAATGTACAGTATTACTTAAATTGTGACAATTGGGAAATATTGATGTATCAAGAGTGTCCTTGTACATAAGTAATTAAAAGTAAGGAAGCAGGCGCAGCAAGCAGTTAGGAAAGCAAATGGTCTGTTCACTTTCATTGCATAAGAATTTCAGTATAAGAACAAGGTGTCTTATTGCATCTGTACAGGGCCTTGGAGAAGGCACACCTGTAACATTGCTGCAGTTTGGGTCTCCTTCAACCCAAAACAAAAGTGATATAAAGGATGTACAGCAAACGTTCACGAGATTAATTCCTAGGATGGCAGCTTTATTGTACGAGGAGAGATTGAATACACTAGGCCTATATCCATAGAATTTAGAAGAACGAGAGGAGGTCTCATTGAAACATATAAAATTATGACAGGAGTAATAGAAAACCCATATCAGACTTGAAATATTAACTTTGGTTTCTCTCTCCATAGATGCTGCTGGATCTGCTGAGTTTCTCCAGCATTTCAGATTGTTTTTATTTCAGATTTCCAGCATCTGCAGCATTTATTTACATTAACCATACAATAGATTTTATTTTTCTTCTCAATTTATACCTGAGTGTTGGAGATTAATAGGATTATACTTTTACTATGTTAAAAGGTTTTCAAATTGTATTATAAGTAGATATTTTATTCTATTTTATTGTCATTTCTTTTGCTCGTATACTTACTAAAGCAACATCTTCAGCATTCCATGCTTATGCTTCAGTAAGAGACCACTTTGTTAAAACCAAAATAAATCAGAATATGATCTATGAAGCCAAGTTTCAGTCTGGGTTCTGACTTATCTGGTAATAACATAAACTGGGATCATAACACAGGGGATATGATGGGCAAATTGACCTACTCATGTGCTGTAAATTCCTTTGATTCTATGAGGATAGTCAGGAGCAAACTACCTACTTAGCTCAGATGTGCTGCGTAATGTGGAGAAAACTGAAGAAGGGGTGAAATTACAATATAAAATCAAAATTTAGATATGAAACAACACAAACCAAAGCAATATCATTCGGCTCCTTTACCTTCTCAAGAGCACAAAAAGTGACTGGCAGAGAGTAAGAGGTCCCTGCACCCAAGACCACTGACTGTGGGAACAGCGTAGTGAAGAATTCAGTGGATGGAGAGCTATAACAAAAAAAAAATCAGGTTTATAAATAACATTAACTTTGTATTATTCTAATATTATTAGCTTACTAAAATTCACCACAGCAATAAAATGTTTTACACGAAGCCACTTAAAGAAGTATTGGGTTTCAAGAAGATTTCTAAAGGAGATGGACAATAACAGGTAGAGGCAGATAGATGATAGGAAGGAAATTACTGAACTTAGAACCTGGACAGGTGAATGCATGTCCACACTGGTACAGTAAGGAAACTTGAGATTTTCATCAATCAGAATTACAGCAAATGTACAGACCTCTTATGGTTGTAGGATTGGTGAAGGTTATGGAAGTAGGCAGGAGAAAAGAGAATGGAGGGATCCAAACGTAGGCAGAGTAATTTTAAAAAGTTTTAAAGGGAGCTGGAATCTAAATGAAACATTGAAGGGACTATTTTTAACCATTTGGAGCACCATCCTGCAGGAAGGATGTCAAGGTCCTGGAGAGGATGTATGGGAATTGGTAAAATGGTATCAAGCATGAGGGAGCTCTGTGACATAGACAGAAGGAGCTGGGATTTGCCCCCCATTTAATAGTGAAGGTCAAGTGGAGATTTAATAGAATCATTCAGAATCATTAAGAGTAAACAGGAGTAACTGTTTTTAATGGCGACAAGATCAGTAACCAAAGTACATAGATTTAAAGTGACTGGTAAAATAACCAAAGGAGATAAGAATTTAATTTTTAAGCAGTGCTATTGGGACCAAATGAGTTATGACATAAAAATATATTTGTGTGAAAATAAAACAAATTTGTTTCTAAACAGACAGAAGATGCGTTGTCCATGACAATATTGTTACGAGTTATCACTGCACAGTCCTTGTGGAGGCAAAGGCCCATCCTCACATAGAGGATATCCTACATCCTGTTGTGGGCCACGACCACAATGCAAAATGGGCCAGACTTCAAACAAATCTAACAACTCCAAAGTTGTTTCAACAACAGCAGAATTGTATTCAACCACAACTTGTAAGTTCATGGCCAACACGTCCCCACTTCTCCATTATCATGAATCTCAGAGATCCACCCAGGTTATAGAGCAGTGCATGAGGGCATGCCAGGAGCAGCACTGGACATATCTTAA